AGCCGTACACTGGACAACGAAAGCCCAAGACCGCGAGCAATGGAAGAGAAGTTGGGACCCGCGCAAGGCCAACCGCCGGGCGGACCAACGAGTCGTCTAAGTATCTATGTATCTTTGAGAGGAGCAGGAGGCTTCTCCATCAGCTGCTTTCTGATGGAGTTTCCGATAGTTTATTTTGTTCACAGTAGACGTACCCACGTGTCGAGGTAATTAGGCCTAATTCGACTCATCTCCCTACCCCACCCTGTCAAGGAATTTTCGCTCTGATTCATAGTCCGTCCCCTTCCTGCACGCATGATAAGTATATCATTGTGCCACGATTACCTCTCTCTAATTACGTTGACCCCGTGAGAGAAAAGTGCTTCGCCAAAGAAGTGATACGCCATTTTGCCGAACAAGTGAATGATCTTTGGAAATGGGGCGTTGCCGTGCGGGTGGGTCTAAGGAAGGGGACAACTCAAGCTCACTTCGTGACGTGCTGGTAAACATGTCTTGTGACTCCAAGAAGGCATGGTGTTGATCAAACACTAACAAAAGTTACCGCATGACATGACACCGTAAGACGTCTGAGAGTGAGATAGCGCGGGTTTCAAAGGGAAACGTAAACAAATGGGTCATCGGTATGGGACGAATCGCATCTTCTAGTGTCCACGACTTGTAGTGCTGGTGTCCTAGGGCTAACGTAAGGTGATGAATTCCCCTGCAAAAACAAACGACAAGAATCATAACGAAAGCATTTGCCTGAATCTCTAGTTGTGATTCTACTGTCGGGTACTGAAGCTTCTCAAAATAATAAATCAGCCCATTTATAGGATGCGCCGCACACTCTACTTCCACTCAAGCTCGGCTTTCCAGTAGGCATTCGATTAAATGTACATTCCACGATGGCGGAATGTGGCTTGTTCTGCTCCATTATGTAAGCATGAGTGTTCTACTGTCCGAAATTGAAGAAAAATAGCCAATGAGGCTACGGGAATCACCAAAAATAACCTTTTGGGTCAATGCGCTGCACATGCTTAGCTCGGAGAAAGTGTGCGCATGGATGAGAGACCCTGACAACAAAGGATTGGAACAGTATAGAGAGCAGAGAGACAGAGGCAGCGGCGTGGTACCAGTTTCAAGGAGTTGATTGAGAGTGAAGGGCTAACGAGACCCCATAGCATCCCTACCAGGCATCTTTGTACTGCAGTAACGGCAAATCTCTCTATATGCGGAAAGATTTTTACCATTGGGACACTCATAAAATTATGATAGCTGAAATAAATAAGTTATGGAGACAGCTCTTCGAAGGCTCACAACGACTTGATGGATAACATGGTCCAGGATGAGACTGAGAATCCCCTCCGCTGAAGCCACAGCTCCCACTAAATGCCGACACCTACACGAGCTCAGGAAGTAGATCGCTCTTTAGGATTGGATGCGGTCCAGCACTGTGAGAGTGGTTTTATTCTACACATTGAGACCATCACAGCGGTTTAAACACTCGAGATACAATGAGAACAGTGAAAAATAACCCTCCTAAGAAGTTTTGTCCACTATTCTATTCACTGCGGCAGTAGGTCTCGTGGTGCTATACAAGTGGGGTGGGCACACCCAGCTTTTCACGCATGTCAAGTGACTGCCCTCACCCCCCACCCCCCTAGATTGGCTACACTCCCCCTGGCTCACGAATTCCCCGATTCTCGTGACAGTATAGTAGCGGCAGCAGTCCCACTTACATACATTTCTGTTCAAAAAATGCGGCGTGCCCACCCTACTTGTATAGCACCGACTCGTTATCCTGGATGCTCGGTGTCGTTTGAATTTTGTCAGTGTTGTGACCTTTACCATGCTGCCACTCCATGACGGAGATGATGCGCGATCAGAAATCGAGTAAAAGGCTATTCTCTAATTACGCATTGTTACACTTTTTCATGAGACTGATAAATAGGCGACCTTTCGGCTATTGCTCTCAGTTCACACAACCATGAATTTTCGCAGTATCGCTTTGCTACTACTAGTCGTCTTGCTTATAAGTTAGTAATCTTTTTTTTTTGGATTTTTTGACCATTGTTTGAATATTTGATATTGAATTCTATTTCTGTTGGACCATTGAAATCAATTATTAGTGGTGCAACTTGAAACTTTTCAGGCTCTGTCAGTGTTGAAGGCAGAGGACGAGGCGGAAGAGGACGAGGCGGAGGAGGTCGAGGCGGAGGAGGCCAGTCGTGAATACGCTCCGTTGTCTGAACAATAGTACCCCTTGAGTTGCTGGAAAATCCCTGGGATTCATTACCTTCTCGATTATAACTCTTTATAAATGTATAGCGAGTATTCGAATGGTTTCTAGCCACAAGGCATTGCTTTGATTGAGAATTTCACAAATATTCAATACCAAACCAATGTTTTAGGTCTCCTCGTCGAGGTCCGTTCGGTGGAGGCCACGGTAAGTGCTTTAGCAGCTTCGATTATTTATTCTTGGGAGTGAACCCTCTATGATGGGTAGATAGCCCAGGAGGGGCTGAAAGCCAGAGCTCGAAGTAAACATGATCTAGCTTGCGACAAAGGTGGATGCTTGCTAGGGCCAGTGCAGCATTAGTAGAGGGTTGCAACTACAGCACGTACATGAAACTCCGGCTCTAGTATTGCCCGCGCCTATAACCCTCTAAACGTCCGGACCGTTTACTTATGAACGCTAGAATGCTTGAGCGAGAGTATAAAACCACTACGTAGCTCGCAAACTGGCGCCCACACTCATTCAATCGGTCAAATCCCATTAATGGTGAATGAAGAATGGAGAACCAACATGTCAAAATTACTATTTTACCCCACAAAGCAATAAATATTGAAAAATGGGGCGCTATCGCAAGATGCGGGGGCATTGTAGAGCTGCATTTTCAAACTGTCAAACATCTATTTTTTATTAAACACGGGACTGAGCCTTAGGCAGGCTAGAAGAGACTCCAACGTGTGTGAGCAACTTTCAGTCCCGAAGTCCGAACCCCCCCCCCCTGGGCCCAGTCCTAGAGGACGCTCCCGTATCTTGCGATAGCGCCACAAATTGCCCAACTATGTCAGTTTGGTTATTTATTTGTTTCGAGATACTCCGCAAAGAATTGCCCTGATATTTTTTGAAGGGTAATTGGCCCATAAAAGTAAGTTCAAGAGATAGCCAGGCACAAGTCGACGTTTCCATCCTTTTTAGTATAGCTAACGAAAATTGACTAATTCTGGTAACTTAAAAAGGCTTTGCTGACATGAGTCGAGCAGACGAAGTTGAGGTCCCTACGTTCAATTTCCACAGTATGCCCCCATTGATACAAAAGATTGAAGCAAATTTCACCAAAATTTGAAGAGGGGCCCAATTGCAAAAAAAGCAGCAAAATCGTAATTGAGCCCTGATTTTACAGGCTCTGATCCTTGTATTTTAAGGACACGGTCACGGTCACGGAGGAGGGTTTGGTCATGGCCATGGTCATGGTCATGGTCATGGACATGGACATGGAGGAGGATTCGGTCACGGACATGGCCATCATGGCGGATTTGGCCATGGACATGGTCACGGACATCACCACTTCGGAAAATAAGCTGCTTCTCAATTTCGTCACATTTCACATTTCATGTATAAAGGATTTCTATGGTATATTTGTTGTTTTCTATGATACGCCACGTAGCGAAAAAAGTTCAACAAGGCCTTTGAAAGGGAAAAAATTGGCTCCGTTTGGACAGAAACATGTCCAGTGCCGTATTACCCAAAAAGACCCTATCTTTATTCTTGCAAAACTCAAAAGAATCGAGGTATGCTCAAAACCAAGCCTGTCGCTGCATTTCGTGTCAGCACCTCCGCCAGGTCCAAAATGGTATAAAGTATAGATTTGAGAAATAATCCAGCAGCACGGCTTGCACCGGAAACAGCAAGGTTCACTACAAATTGTAATAGAAGTGAAGCAACTCTCCATTGTGGCAACGCGCGGCCAAATGTCTTTGTTTAAAGATATCACAAGAGCTGAACGAGATGGCCTATGAAAATCTCTTTCGCGAGCCATGCTCACTGCGTCT